CGGGGGCGAAGTCCAGGAGGGAGAGCGAAGTGGTGTTGCCGTCAACGGCGCGCCAGGATCACCATCCTCGAGTGCTGCGCGGGGAGGGCCGTGACCAGGTCAACGGCCGCTGCCGAAACGAGCGAGTGCCTGAGGGGGCAGGCTCGAGCTGTCTCGAGCCAGCCTGGCAACGGAGGGGGAGGGGATGGTGGTGGGGATGACGAGGCGGAGGCGGGCGAGGAGTGGGACCATGGTGAACTCGGGATGCCGTAGCGGTGTTGTAATGCACCCTCCTGCCTGACGCCCCCGCCTCATGCGTCCCTCCTGGTATTCCCCCCCTCCGCTGCTGGAAGCAGCCCCCTTTGAGAGACGACCGCCCCATGGGCCCGCCATCCGGCCGAAAAACCCATTCATGACAAGGAGCCTTCGCCCAGCAGCTGAGAGTTACCACCGCACACTTCAAGGAACTGTCCAACGGTGGCCCCGTTTTGAAGATGAAGCGCCCTCCATGCGTGCGGTTGCTGCGCAATGTCTCACGTCTGGAGGAGGAGGAGGAGGAGGAGGAGGAGGAGGAGGAGGAGGAGGAGCCAGAGGAGGAGGAGGAGGAGGAGGAGGAGGCAGGAGGAGGAGGAGGAGAGGAGGAGGAGGGAGGAAGGAGGAGCCAGAGGAGGAGGAGGAGGAGGAGGAGGAGGAGGAGGAGGAGGAGCCAGAGGAGGAGGAGGAGGAGGAGGAGGAGGAGGAGGAGGAGGAGGAGGAGGAGTGCCCTCCATCCGTGCGGTTGCCGCGCACTGTCTCGCGTCTGGCAAGCCAGTGCGACACGACATCAAGCGACAAACCTATTCTGAAAAGGAGCCACCCTCCGCCCGTGCGGCTGTGCTCACGAGCGGCTCCTGGCGGTAGCGATGGCAGCCACGCAGTCAAGCACCCAACTTTGGAAAAGGAGCCGCCCCTTACCGGTGCGACTGCTGGGAACTTATAAGGTGCCCATGCGCGGCGCTAGGGCGATGACCACATTTGAAAACCACCCGCTCTCCACCCGTGTGGTTATCCCAAACTTTATGACGAATGCATGCGGCGCCAATGCGAGAACAACATCATGAAAACCACTCGCCCTCAATCCGTGAAACGGTTGGAAGCAAGGAACATGAATGTGCGCGGCGCTGAGGCGAGAGCCACACATTGAAAACCACCCGTCCTCCATCTGCCTGACCGTTGGAGCACTGAAGGCTCAATCTCAAAAGTGGTGAGGTCGTCTCAAGCACAATACCCAGAGCGCCCTACCGACACGTCTGGTGGTGCAGCGAGGAGGAGCTGCTTGCGCACTACGCAGATGGAGGAGTTGGAGGAGGAGGAGGAGGAGGAGGAGGAGGAGGAGGAGGGAGGAGGAGGAGGAGGGAGGAGGAGGAGGAGGAGGAGGATTACCCCAGTGCGACCCTACCTAGAAGTTGGAGCCCCTAGGAAAACAGCATCAGTTGCTATGCTATGATATGCAATGCTATGCCATGCTATGCCATGCTGTGCTGCGCTATGCTATGATATGCTATGCTATGCTGAGTCATGCTATGCTATGCTGCGTTATGATATGCTAGGCTATGCTAAGCTATGCTATGATCTGATACATTATTCAATGTCATGCTGCGCTGTGTTATGCCAAGCTATGCTATACTATGATATACTATGCTAAGCTGCGCTATGCTATGCTATGCTATGCTATGCTATGCTATGCTATGCTATGATATGATATGTTATGCTGCGCGGTGCTATGGTATGCTGTGCTGTGCTGTGCTGCGCTATGCTATGCTATGCTATGCTATGCTGCGCTATGCTATGCTATGCGGTGCTATGCTATGATATGCTGTGCTGCGCTGTGCTATGCTATGCTATGCTATGCTATGCTGTGCTCTGCAATGCTAAAGCTCAGCGAAGCTAAGATGATTGCAAGCTAAGCTAAGGTAAACCTGAACTAAGATGAAGCTAAGCTAAGCTAAGATGAAATAAGCTAAGCTAAGATAATATCAGCAACGCTAAGCTACGGGGACGACACTGGGGGAACCGCGGGGCGGATGCCGGGGAAACCGCCCGGGGCGATTAGCACTGCCCGGCCCTTTAAGCACACAGGGTAAGAACCCTCCTAGGCAGAGCCTAGGTAGGGAATGAAGAAGAAGAAGAAGAAGAAGAAGAAGAAGAAGAATAACATGAGGTGGACTAGGATGACATTGTCTTGCCGCCCAACCCATTCCATCTGGATCGCTCCTCCAGGGTGCCACGCGAGAGCTCCAGAGGCCCCGCAGAGGGCTCCAGACGCCTCCCGCATCTCGGTGTTCGACCTCGCCCCCATCCCCCCCCCAGATGGCGCGCCCAGGGAGGAGGAGGAGGAGGAGGAGGAGGAGGAGGAGGAGGAGGAGAAGGAGGAGGAGGAGGAGGAGGAGGAGGAGGAGGAGTGGCATCCTAAGAAGCATGGACGGCCTCCAAGAAAGCCAGAGTCTTCCTGGAAGCCCCCCCCTTCCCGGCCTCGCACAGCGGCCCCCTCCCAGAAGATGGGGTCTGGGTAGATGGCTGGGGCTGGAGGATTGCGCCGCATCGCCGATTCATCGCCAGTGCGTCTGCGATGCATCGGTGACGCCAGCGATGCGTCGGTGCCATCGCTGGCTCCACATCGGTCCGCATCGGCGGTGCATCGGCGATGCGGCGCTATCACCCGACCCCCTCTACCTGAGCCCCGTTTGGGAGGCCTGAATCTAAGAAGCCCTCCTAGAAGCCCCTGGGCCCTTCTGAGAAGGCCCATGCCTTCTAAGTGGCCCCCCGCCTTCTCGGAAACCCCGCCTCCCTCGTGCTTCACCCCTGTGTGCGTTGAGTCAACTTCGGGCCATAATTGGGGTCCCTGCCCGTCGTCCAGGGCGACGTGGGTTCCCCAGAATGCTGTCGGCGAGACGCAGCCGCTGGAGAGCACCCCGAACTGGCACGCCTCTAGGCACCGGCAGGAACGCCTCCAAACCCGAGAGCGACGACGCAGCCAATCCTTCACCCTCCCGCTCCCAATGCCCCAGGCGGCGCGCCAGGGAGGGGAACACGAGGGCTTGGGGGCCCCCCATGGGCCCCCAGGTCCGGCCCCGAATCGGCCCGTTCTCCCGAGACGCCGACCGCACACCCGAGAGCGACGACGCAGCCCATCCTTCGTCCTCCCGCTCCCGGATCCCCTCCAACGCCTGCACGCCCCCGCCGCTCCTGAGTTCGGGTCGCTCCACCTGTCCACGTTCTGGACCAGTGCGTTGGTGCCGAAGCCCCCGAGACCCGTGATGCTGAGAACGCCGGCGACCTGGACCAGCGCCCCCGCCTCCGCCTCCTCCTCCGCCCCCTCTTCCTATTATTTGTCTTCTTCTTCTTCTTCTTCATCTTCTTCCTTCTCTACGTTTTCCTCTTCCTCTTCCTCTTCCTCTTCCTCTTCCTCTTCCTCCTGCTCCTGCTCCTGCTCCTGCTCCTCCCTTCCCCTCCCTCCCTCTCTCGTCCTTCTTCTCCTCTTCTGCCCCCTCGTCCCCCGTCCTCCTCCTGCTCCCCTCCCTCCCTCCCTCCCTCCCTCCTCGTCCCTCCGTCTGATCCTCCTTTCCCTTCTCCTTCTCCTCCTCCTCCTCCTCCTCCTTCTCCTCTCCTCCCTCCCTCGTCCCGCACATTCTGCAAGGAAGTGCACCCCAGTGGTGCCATTGTGGTGCAGCCGTTCAGGCCAAGAAACATCCCCTCCCTCCCTCCTCCCTCCCTCCCTCCTTCGCTCCCTTCTTCTTCGTCTTATTCTCATTATTCTTCTCATGTGTATGATTATTGCTGTTGTTGTTATTATCCTTCCTCGTCCTCACTCTCCTCCTGCCAGAGGTTCCACCGAAAAACCCACGGAGGCCCAAGAGAGAGTCCAAGAGGCTCCAAAGAAGGACCAATCGGGCCACATCAATTTAGCAACGACACGGGTTTCAATGCATCTTGCCTTTAATTCGGAATGTTCTGATTAAATACCTTATCGTTTTCCTTCTCGTCATCCTCGTCTTCCTCGTTTTCCTCGCCTCTCTTCCGTTTCCTCCTCCGTTCCTCCTCATCCTCGACCTTCTCCTTTCCCTCCTCGTTCTCGGGGCCTTCCTGGTCCTCATTGTCATTGTCCTCCTCGCCCTCCTTTTGCCGCTCGTCCTTGATTGTTCGTCCTCCCGCTCCTCGTCCTCCTCGCCCCTCCCATCCCCCGCCTCTCCTTCTTCCATCACTCGCCCCCCCCCTTAGCCTTAGCCGTCCCCTCCTTCCCCTTCCCCTGCTTTCCCCCTCCCCTCTCGTCCTTCCCCCCCCTGCTCCCCCCACTCCCCTTCTCCTTCTCCTCCTCTTGCCCTCTCGCCCCCGTCGCCCTTTCCCCACATCCTTACCGCGCCCCCCCCCCGTCCTCGTCCTCGTCGTGGTCGCCATCCTCACCCGCGTCCTCGTCCTCGTCCTCATCTTCCTCGTCCTCCTCCTGCTCCTCCTCCTCCTCCTCATCATCATCATCATCTCCCTCCTTCCCCTTGTCTACCTCTTCCGACACCTTTTCTCTCGTGCTTCAACGCTTCCGTGTTTCTTGGCGCGGTGCCAGGGCGGGGTGCACCTGGGCGTTCGCGAGCAGGCAAGCGAAGACCAAATCGCCGAAATCGTTCCTCCTCCTCCTCCTTCTCCATGCTCTCATCCTCCCCTCTTCTGAGCACTTCTCCATCCTCCATGATCCTCCTTCTCCTCATTGTTTCTCTCTCTCTCTCTCTCTTTCTCTCCTTCTCTCTCTCTTTCTCATCTTCCTGGACCCCTCACATCCTCCTGGGCCCTCCTTCATCATCCTGATTTCTCTTCTCCATCCTCCCGGACCCCTCCCATCCTCCATCCTCCACGATCCTCCCTCTCAGTCTCCCTCTCCTGGACCCATCCGCATCCTCGCCCTCCTCCCCTGCCTCTCTCCCGCTGGGCGCTCCCCCCGTGTTTGCCCTGGCAGACCTGGACGATCCAGGTCCAGCTGTTCAGCATGGCTATCACGGGAGCTGGCGGCGGGTCTCTCTCGGGCAGGCCAGGAGGACGCGGCGGATCGTGATGGAGGACGAGCGTAAACGGTGTATGCCCGACAACAAGGCTCCACGCACATGATTGCCACCGGCTCTGCCATTACAGTGCAAGGCAAACGAGTGGGCCATGCCCCAAAGTGACGCGCCCCACGCAGCACAGCACGTCACATTTTGAGACACCTCCGGGTACTCCCGTCACAAGAAGAAAGGACGAGCAGGGTGTGATGGGATCAGCGGAGCGGGGGAGGATGGTGGGAATGGGGGGAAGACATGGGACGGAATTGCTGGGGAGGGAGAAAGGGGGGATTGGGACGGGAGCGTGCACGAGGGATGGGAGGTGCAAAGGAGGAGGTGATCATGGATACGCGAGGGGGGTGGGAAAGGGACGGGAAGGGAGAAGAAGAGCGAAGGAACAGGGGAGGGAAAATTAATCTGTGGAGTGTACGAGTATGCGTATGTAAAACATGATGGGTCGACTTACGGTTTGTTGGATATATAAACGACGCAGGTCGAGCAGGCATAAAGTGAACTGCAGTAAATGATAGATGCAAAGTGTTTGCGATAGTTTGAAGCTGAACATATCAAATCCGATATTGATTTTGTGAACGGCACAACCCCACACGGCCCATCACTTGAGTCGTATTACATGCGTAATGCGAGGGGTGTTCTTCACCGCCTTGAATCGGCCAGTGAGCTGAGGCATGACCCACCGAACTGATCCTTCCTTTTACGTGCACGGCTCGTGCATTAGAGGTTCGTGAATTGCTCCCTCTCCCCCTCCTGTTCTTCGCTTTGCCACCGTCCCGCACTTTTTTCCCGTGCCTCCTCTCACCTCCCCCTGCCCCCTCCTTCCCCCTCCTTCCCCTCCCCCTCCCCTCCCACCTTTCTGGGGCTTGTCACTCTGAAAGGGGCTGAGCATGAGCTCGAGGCGGGTGGGCGACGTCTCAAGGATTTGGGCGCCCGAGTTATCCGGGGTAACTCGGGTCCGGGGTAACTCGGGTTTGGATTCCCGAAAAAGGAACCCGAGTTATCCCTGACCCGAGTTACCCCTGATGATTCGGGGCTCTTGGGCGCCCGAGTTATCCGGGGTAACTCGGGTCCGGGGTAACTCGGGTTTGGATTCCCGAAAAAGGAACCCGAGTTATCCCTGACCCGAATTACCCCTGATGATTCGGGGCTCTGAAGGATAGCCACGCCGGCGAGCCTCGCCTGGATGGGGCGAGCGCGGGAAGCTCGCCGAGGGCTCGGGCCCCCTCTCCGGGGCCACAAAGGTCCGTCCGAGCTCGGCGCGCGCCCGTCCAGCATGCCGGCCGCAGCCTCGCGGCCGGAGCAGCAAGAGAGGAAGCGGCCCGAAGACTTCGGCCAGCGCCCGGCGTGAGCTCTCCGCTGTCTCTTGAACAGGGACCGACCGTCCCGGCATTCCTATAGTCCTGCCACGAAATGCTCTTAGAACCCCAACATGTTCTAAGACAAAAGGCGTTCTCAGAACACAGGCCCGATGTGCTAACACAAGACAGTGCCAACCAGAAATATTATAAGAACACTTCGCGAGAACCACAACAGGTTCTTAGAACATTGTTTGGTGAGGCTATGGGCGAGCCAGGACGCTTCGCCACTGCTTGAATCTCCGCGCGGCGTGGGGATCGACCCGCCCGCAGCGCGCGCGCAGACCCGCTCGCTCGCTCGCGCGCGCGCGCTCGGTGCCGCAGGCTGTGGCGGCCCGTGGGCGTGCCTCTCGGCACAGGAGCTGCGACAGCGAGCGTGGCGCACTGCGCGTCGCCACGTGGAGACGTCACTCACCGCATCGTGAGGCCGGCTGGTGTCCCCAGAAGGGCTGAACCTAAACGATGTTTTTCCCAACCATCCTGTGGTGCTGGGTCCTCGTTTTGAAGAGACAGCGCCCCGCGTCCTCCCTCCTCCTCCTCCTTCCCCCTCCCCTCCTCCTTTTCACCCGTCATCATCACCATCATCGTCATCATCATCGCCGTCATCAGCACCATCACCCCTCACACGCTTCGTGGCCCCATAGGGAGCTCCACCGAAGGCCCCAGTGCTGCCGGCCGCACGCGTCCCACACACCCAATTCGGCACATCCCTCACACGCTTCGTGGCCTCATAGGGAGCTCCACCGAAGGCCCCAGTGCTGCCGGCCGCATGCGTCCCGCACACCCAATTCGGCACACCCCTCACACGTTTCGTGGCCCCTTAGGGAGCTCCACCGAAGGCCCCAGTGCCGCCGGCCGCATGCGTCCCGCACACCCACTTCGGCACACCCCTCACACGTGTCGTGGCCCCCATAGGGAGCTCCAGCGAAGGCCCCAGTGCTGCCGGCCGCATGCGTCCCGCACACCCAATTCGGCGCACCCCTCACACGTTTCGTGGCCCCATAGGGAGCTCCACCGAAGGCCCCAGGGCCGCCGGCCGCATGCGTCCCGCACGCCCAATTCGGCCACCGAAGGCAGCGCCGCCGGCCACATGCGTCCCGCACACCCAATTCAGCACACCCCTCACACGTTTCGTGGCCCCAGAGGGAGCTCCACCGAAGGCCCCAGTGCCGCCGCCCGCATGCGTCCCGCACGCCGAAATCGGCACACCCCTCACACGCTTCGTGGCCCCATAAGGAACTGGTGGTCCCGACAACCTCCCTATGGCCGATTTCTTCGTCGTCGTCGTCCGTCGTCGACGTCCCACCTGCGCGTAGCGCGGCGCCCGCAGCCTTGAACTTTGGAGTGCGCGGGCAAAGAGGAAGGAAAAGAAAGGGAGGAAGCGGGCGCGATCCTCTTGTGGGGCGTGCCGACATGGGCGTCGCGGCGCGCGGGCGCTGCCGTCGGGGTTCCCAGGACAACTCCTTGCGGAGGCTACGCTCAGTGTCACGAGTTCTCAGAGTCAGGCAGACCCAAACCATTCACAGTCGTATGCATTTACACTAGGCGACTCCAAGCTCGCAATCATGCGCATAGAATTAATCGCGCGCATTTTCATTCTGAATCGGACGCACTCGCGCTTAGACTCGCCCGCGCTCAAGCTTTCATACTCAGACCTATCGTTTTCGCTCGTGTTGTGTATCCTATCACACAATCTGGCACACCCCTCATAATGACTCATACGGTTCGTGACCCCATAGGGAGCGCCACCGAATGATATATTCACAGTTGCGGTATTCACAACTGCGTATGGTTGGGTCCCTCGCCAGGCTAATTCGTTTTCGTTTTCTTTTCGTTTGCCATCGTTTTGTCTTCAATCCGCCTTTACCGCAAAACGAGATCAAAACGAAAACGGCCAACGAAATCGCCAAAACACCGTTTAGGTCCACCCCTGGTCCCCAGCCAGACGGACTGCGACGGGCAACGCGCTGCGGACCCTTCCTTCCTAGGTGCTCCAACTCGGCGGACGTACCAGTCGGTGGCGGGGAGGAGGAAGGGGAGGCCTGCTTTGAACATGACCTCCCGCACAACTGCGTTTTCCGGCTGGCGCAGGACACATCCCAATAGAAGTAATTGTCTGCGTCGGTTTGCTCAGAAGCTGTCTTGAGACCCGCGCAGGCTCGCGGCCCCCCAAAAAAATGTGCTCTCTGGGTTAGCTCCGCTTAGCGCGCTGTGAGTGGGCACCTTGGTGAAACTTTGAGCATGTTTTTTCGCAATCATCCTGTGGTGTTGGGTCCTCGTTTTGAAGAAACAGCGCCCCGCGTCCTCCCTCCTCCTCCGTGGCCCTACTCCCCCTGCTTCCTGCGTTTCACCCACCCAATACAATGTTTCGTGGCCCCATAGGGAGCCCCACCGAAGGTCCCAGTGCTGCCGGCCGCATGCGTCCCGCACACCCACTGCAGCGTTTCGTGGCCCTCCTCCCCCTGCTCCCTGCGTTTCACCCACCCAGTACAGCGCTTCGTGGCGCCATAGGGAGCCCCGCAAAAGGTCCCAGTGCTGCCGTCCGCATGCGTCCCGCACGCATGCGTCCCGCACACCCAGTACAGCGTTTCGTGGCCCCGTAGGGAGCCCCACCGAAGGTCCCAGTGCTGCCGCCCGTATGCTTCCCCCCCACCCAGTACAGCGTTTCGCGGCCCTCGTCCCCCTGCTCTCTGTGTTTCACATACCCAATACATCGTTTCGTGGCCCCGTAGGGAGCCCCACCGAAGGTCCCAGTGCCAGTGCAGCGTTGCGTGGTCCTCCTACCCCTCCCCCCTGCGTCTCACCCACCCAGTACAATGTTTCGTGGCCCCATAGGGAGCCCCACCGGAGGTCCCAGTGCTGCCGTCCGCATGCGTCCCGCATGCCCATTATAACTTTTCGTGGCCCCACAGCCAGTGCCGCCGTCCGCATGCGTCCCGAAAACAAAATGTGGCATTTTCACCCACCCAGCACAGCGCTTCGTTGCCCCATAGGGAGCCCCACCGAAAGCCCCAGTGGGACTGTCCGCAAGCGATCCGAAACACCCAATGTGGCAGTTTCACTCACGCAGTACAGCGCTTCGTGGCCCTATGTGGCATTTCCACCCGCCCAGTACAGCGCTTCGTGGCTCCATAGGGAGCTCCACCGAAGCGCCCAGTGGGACCGTCCGCGTGCGTCCCGGAAACTTAATTTGGCATTTCCTCCCACCCAGTAAAGCGTTTCGTGGCCCCATAGGGAGCTCCACCGAAGGCCCCAGTGCCACCGTCCGCATGCGTCCCCGAAACCCAACGTGGCATTTACACCCACCCATTACAGCGTTTCGTGGCCCCATAGGAAGCTCCACCGAAGCGCCCAGAGGGGCCGTCCGCATGCGTCCCGGAAGCCCAATTTGGCACATCACCCACTCAGTACAGCGTTCCCCCCACCCAGTGCAGCGCTTCGTTGCCCCATAAGGAGCTTCATGGTTGGGTCCTTCGCCAGGATAATTACTCCTGGCGATAGCGGCAGTTCTCGGCCTCGCCCCCCCCCCCACCCCCCTCCTGGTAACAGAATGGTGGTTCGCGCCAGCGCCGTTCAGAAATGCCTAGATCGTGAGCGTCCCAAGATCCCGCAAGTCACCGCCCCATCCCCACCCCTGGAATGGCCCCTTAGGGATTGATCTTTCATTCATGGGGGGTGACGCGTGTTACCCGAGAGGGGGGGGGGCTGGGCCGGGTGGTAACGGTAACGGCGGCCGCGGCGTGCACCCGCCAGGGTGGGTCCGAGCTACCAGCACATCAATAGCCTGTGTGCACAACAGTCCCTGTGTACACGACAATGCCCAATGCCTGCGTGCCAGTTCCTGTGCACACGACCATGCCTAACCACAGTCCCTGCGTCCTATGATATCATTCTGCTGCATCACAACGCTTGCGTACACTAATGCCTGTGTACACCGCAGCTGCCGCGTGAATTACAACGCCTGTGTACACCACAGTGCTTCCGTGCATCACAACGCCTGTGAACACCGCAGCGCCTGTGCACACTACCAGTAGCCATGTGCACCGTAGCTTACGCGTACGCCAAAGTGCCTGCGTGCACCACAGCGCCAGTGTACACCGCAGTAAACTGGCACTGCGTGCTCGTCGATGCATGCTTGCGCCGGAACGCCTGTGTACTCCTAACAATGTCATTGGGAATCTGCAGTAATTCACGCTTGTGCCCCGTTTGCAAGCGTTCCGGTTACTGGGGGGGTCTGGGGTGTGTGTGATACGCGTTACCCTCCCGAGTACATAAAAGAACAATCCCTGACCCCAAAGAGATAACAAACATGCTCTTTATGAGGCCGCCTCTTCAGTGACCTAGGGCGATACGCGCCTGCCCTAGAGGGGCGTTCATCTTACACGTCGTATCTTCCCCTCCGGTCCCCTCCGCTCCCTCCACCCTCTCGTCTGCCCAGGGCTCCCTCGCTGGTGATGAAGTCGAACACCTTCACGGTGGCGTGGCAGAAGCTGCTGGAGTGTATGGCCACGTCAACGTAGGCCATCTGCCGGGTGGCGCGCCCGAGGAGTAGGCGGAGGGAGCGACCGGGGCGAGGGAGGGGGGAGCAGGGCGAGGCGGGCCGGGTGAGGGGAGACGCGGGAGGAGGAGAGGCGGAGGCAAGTGTAGGTGCCCAGGTGTCCAGAGAAGCCATGCCATCCTGGCGAAGCCTGCGTGCTTGAGGCTGCCGGGCGGAGGAAGCGGGGGGGAGCGGGCCTCGCTGTGGAACACTGCCTGTATTCGAGCACGCAGCTCCACACGACGAGCCCCAACCCTCCTGCCCAGAGCGTAATCTAAGCGGGCGAGCAAGAAGAAGGCACTGGAGGCATCTTGCCTGTCAGTAGCCTTGCACAGAACAAGCTGCCCTTGAAGTGATCGAAAGACGGCACACGCAAACACGTCCACATCCGTCGGCTCACACTTTCCGCACCTCTTTCAGCAATTCTTCCTTTTCCTCCTACTCCTCCTCCTCGCTGAGCCGCTCGGCGAATGAGAGCAGTCGCGCCCCTTCTTTCCTCCGCCCCGTTTCGCTTCTCTACCAAGGCCGCCCGGGCCCTTGCTCGCCTCCCAGGTCTCAGGCCTTCGCCTAGTATTTGGGGTTTAGAACCGCGCGCGCGCACTTCGCGCGCTCAGGCTCTGACACACCTCGGCCCTCGACACGCATACGACTGCATATGCGTATATCTACACTATGTGTATACAGACACGACCCCGCACGCGCAATGAACACGGCTTGAAGAAACTGCCGGAATGTGCACCGCAACGCAAGCACGGGTTCTTCTCATGCCGAGCAGTGCAAGAGCACCGCAACGCAAGCAACGCAACGCAGCTCAGGCGCATCGCAACTCAAACCGCCGTGGCCCAAAGCAATTGCAATGGTAAAACAGTGTAGTTCAACGCAATGCAAAATCACCCGAGACGTAGCCAGACCCTTCTCCACGCGAGGCGAATACTTGCATGGACGCTCCATACAAAAGAACACATCGCCAGATATTGATGATTTGCGCTGCACTCATCTCCGCCGTGCCTCCCAGGAGCCGACGAAAATGGCGACGGTTGCGCAGTTCGTAGCCTCCCATGGAGCCGCGAGGTACTGGCTGGATCCGCGTGGCCTCCGCCTCCGCTGGACCTCCCAAGTAGGGAATCGAAATCTATGTACCGACGCTTTTCCCGACCCTGCGCTGAAATTCGCACAGGAACGCGGATTCTGGTGTGTACGGGATCCTGGTGTATACATTTTTCGATGTTTCCCTTGGAAAACGGGGGAAAAGCATACACCACACCACCCCGACGTCGTCCCTGACCCTTGTCGTGGGATTGAAAAACAACCCGCCACTGGTAATGTATATGTTCCGGTTTGCGGCCAAGAGCCCACGAACGTGGCGCCAGTTGCGCAGTTCGGAGCCACCCGAGGAGCTGCGAGGTCTCGACTGCCTGCGCGCACTTCCCTGCGCCGCCGTGCCTCCCCGGAGCCCAGGACAGTGGCGTCAGTTGCGCGGTTCACAGTCCCCCAGGGGGCTGCGAGGCCTCGGCTGCGTGCGCGTACTCCCCTACCCCGCGGACCCCCCCCCCCCACAAGCCCACGAGAAGTGGCGCCAGTTGCGCAGTTCGCAATCCCCCAGGGAGCTGCAGGGTCTCGGCTGTGTGCGCGCACTCCCCGACTCCGCCGTGCCTTCCGGGAACCACGGAAAGTGGCGACAGTTGAGCAGTTCACAATCCCTCAGGGAGCTGCGAGTTCTCGGCTGGGTGCGTGTGCTCCCCGACTCCGCCGTGCCTCCCATGAGCCCACGAAAGTGGCGACAGTTGCGCGGCTCGCAGTCAGTCAAGGAGCAGCGAGGTCACCCCGCTGACCTCCCAAGAGGCTGAGAAAGTGGCGACGGTTACGCAGTTCGCAGCCACACGGGGAGCAGCGAGGCCTCGTCTGGGTGCTCCGCTGGACCTCCCAGGAGCCCACGAACCCCCAGGAAGCTGCGAGGTCTCGACTGGGTGCCCGCATGCCCCTCCTCCGCTGCGCCTCCCAGGAGCCCACGAACGTGGCGGCGGCTTCGCAGCTCGCGGTCCTCCAAGGAGCAGCGAAGTCTTGTCTGGGTCCGCGTACTCCCCTACTGACTACCTACCAGACCACCCCAACCCAACCCGAAGACCCGAGTTTGACCCGAATTTCGGGTTGGGGGGGGTATGGGCTCCATGTGTTTTCTCGATGTTCCCCGACCCCCCCCCACTGGAAATCGGGGGCAAATTGGGGCCTTCGGGTTGGGTTGGGGTGGTTTGGTGGGTGGTGACCTACTCCGCTGGACTGTCAAGGGGCCCGGGAAAGTGGCCACGGTTACGAAGTTCGCAGGCACCCAGGGAGCAGCGAAATCCTGTCTGGGTCCGCACTCCCCGACTCCGCCGTGCCTCCCAAGAGCCAACGGAAGTGGCGACGGTTGCTCATTTCGCTGCGAGGTCTCGGATGGGTGCGCGTACTCCCCTGCTCCGCCGTGCCTCCCGGGAGCCCACGAAAATGGCGATAATTGCGCAACTCGCAGCTAGCCAGGAAGCAGCGAGGTCTCGTCTGGGTCCGCGTACCCCCCGACTCCGCTGGACCTCCAAGGAGCCCACGAACGTGGCGACAATCGCGCAGTTCTCAGCCACGCAGGGAGCAGCGAGGTCTCGCCTGGGTCCGCGTACCCCCCGACTCCGCTGGACCTCCCGGGAGCCCAAGAAAGTGGCGACAGTTGCGCAGTTCGCAGCCACCCATGGAGCAGCGAGATCTCGTCAGGGTGCGAGGTCCCGTCTAGGCCGGGGTACCCCCCGACTCCGCTGGACCTCCCAGGAGCCAACGAAAGTGGCGACAGTTGCACAGTTCGCAGCCAGTGAGGGAGCATCGAGGTCCGCGCCGCCCTTGACTCCGCTGGACCCCGCAGGAGCCCACGAAAGTTGCGACAGTTCCGCAGTTCGTAGCCAGTCAGGGAGCAGGGCATGAGGAGGCATGAGACGGGAGATGAGAAGAAAGGAGTGGACACCACAGTGTTCTATTCAAAGCGAGAGCCCGAAACATGAGGGTTGGGAACAAACGCGCCGTATTGCAAACCCATAGCTCGATGCAGAGACACACACACAAACACACACACGCACTCACTCACTCACTCACTCACTCACTCACACACACACCCACACGCACACGCACACGCACACGCACACGCACACGCACACGCACACGCACACGCACACGCACACGCACACGCACACGCACACGCACACGCACACACGCACACGCACACGCACACGCACACGCACACGCACACGCACACGCACACGCACACGCACACGCACACGCACACGCACACGCACACACACACGCACACGCACACGCACACGCACACCCACACACACCCACACACCCACACACCCACATCCACATCCACATCCACATCCACATCCACATCCACACACACACACACGCGCACGCGCACGCGCACGCGCACGCGCACACGCACGCGCACACGCACACGCACACGCACACACGAACGCACGAACACACGAACGCACACACGCACACACGCACACACGCACACACGCACACACGCATACACACACACCAACACACACCAACACACACCAACACACACACACAAACACACCAACACACCAACACACACACAAACACACAAACACATAATCACGAGGGTGCGCCGCTGGATCTCCCCAAGATTGGGGGGGGTACGAAGGGGCGGGGTTAGGACCCCCCCCCACCTTCCCCGATCCGTCGTCGGGGACCCCCCCCCCCTCCCCCCCTTCCCCGATCCGTCGTCGGGGGAACCCGCCCTCCCCTTCCCCCTTTCCCGGATCCGTCGTCGGGGAACCCCCCCCCCTCCCCCTTTCAAAAGGGGGGGGGGGTCCGACACCCCCCCCCCGTCCCCGCCTTTCGCCACGCCGCCCCCTGACTCCGGAACCCGGCCTCCGCCACCCCTACCCCTAGTCCCCCACCCTAACCCAAACCCCTTATCCTAACCCCAACCACTAACCCCAGCCCCAAAGAGCACTCACTACTCATTACACACTACCCACTACTGACTACTCGCTATTCGCTACTCACTGCTCACTACCCCTACTCACTACTCACGACTCACTACTCACTATCCACTACTCACTACCCACCACCCACTACTCGCTGTTCACTACTCCCTACTCACTACTCCCTCCTCCCTACTCACTACTCGCTCCTCACTACCCACTACTCCATACTCACTACTCACTAAGCACTACTCACTACTCACCACTCACTAATCACTACTCATTACCCACTACCCACTATCCACTACTCACTACTCACCACGAGCTACTCATTGCCCACGAATCACTCACTACCCACTACTCGCTACTCGCTACTCCCTACTCCCTACACTATACTGACTACGCAGTACTCAGAACTCACTACTCGCTACTCCCATACTCGCTACTCAATACTCACTACTCATTGCCCGCTAGTCACTATTCACTACTCACTACTTACTACTCCCTACTCACTAGTCGCTGCATAGTCTCTAGTCACTAAGTCACTAGTCACTAGTCACTAGTCACAAAGTCACTACCCACTACTCACCAATCGCTACTCACTACCCACTATTCGCTACCCACTTATTACTACTCACTGCTCACTACTCCCTACTCCCTACTCCCTACTCGCTACTCACTACTCACTACTCGCTACTCCCTACTCCTTACTCACTACTCACTACCCACTGTCACTACCCACTACTCTCTATTCATCACTACTCACTACTCACTACTCACTACTCACTACTCCGTACTCACTACACACTACTCACTATTCACTACTCACTACCCAGTACTCGCTACTCACTACTCACTACTCACTACTCACTCCTCACTGCTCACTAATCACTACTCGCCACCCACTACTCACTACCGACTACTCACTACCCACTACTCATTACTCCCTACTCCCTACTCAGTACTCGCTACTCGCTACTCGCTACTCACTACTCACTACTCAGTACTTGCCACGCACTACTCACTTATCAGTACACACTACTCACTATTCACCACTCACTACTCCCCACTCTCTACTTCCTACTCCCTACTCGCCACTCACTACCCACTACTCATTACCCAATACTCGCTACTCACTACGCACTAACTCACTACTCACTACTCACCACTCCCTACTCCCAACTCCGTACTCCCTACACGAGAGGGGGGGGGGGTCCGAACCCCCCTCTCCTTTCCAGCACCAAGGGGGGCCTTCAAGGGAGGGGAGGGGGTGGGGGTGTTCGGGACCCCCCCCCCTTAAGGGGGGGGGAGGGGAGGGGTCCGGACCCCCCCCCTTTGAAGGAGGGGAGGGGGGGGGGGTTCTGGACCCCCCCCCTCTTTAGTGTACTCAGGGAGATCCACTGGCGCACTTTCCATAATCACACCAACACACCAGCACACGAACACACGAACACACGAACACAAACACACACACACATTCACACAAACACGCAATAACACACATACACACACTCAACCACACAACCACACAACCACACGACCACACAACCACACAACCACACAACCGAACAACCGCACAACCACACAATCACACAACCACACAGACAAACAACCACACACACAAACACACAAACACACAAACACACAAACACACACACAAACACACAAACACACAACAACACAAGCATACAAACGCACACACACCCACCCACACACACCCACACACACTCACACACATACCCACACACACACACCCACACACACACACGAACACACACACACACATACACGCACACACAACCACACACACACAACCACACACTCAACAACACACACAAACACACACACACAAACACACACACACAAACACAAACACCCAAACAACACACCAACACACACACACACTCACAAACACACACGCACACACAAGCACAAGCACAAGCACATGCACACAAACACAAACTCAACCACACGAACACAAGCACACAACCACAAACACAACCTCCTCCACCTCCTCCTGCTCCTCCTGCTCCTCCTGCTTCTCCTCCTCCTCATCCTCCTTCTTCTCCTCCTCCTCCTCCTCCTCCTCCTACTCCTACTCCTACTCCTCCTCCTCCTCCTCCTCCCATCTCCTTCCTCCTCTCTCCCTCCTACTCATCCTGCTCCTCCTCCTCCTCCTCCTCTTTCCCTCCTTCCTCCTGCTCTCCTCCTCCTCCTCCTTATCCCTCCCTCCCTCCCTCCAACCCTCCCTCCTCCTCCTCCTCATTCTCTCCTCCTCCTCCTCCTCCTCCTCTCTCCCCTCCTTCTCCTCCTCCTCCGCCTCCTCCTCCTCCCCCCTCCTCCTCCTCCTCCTCCTCCTCCTCCTCCTTTTCCTCCTGCTCCTCCTCCACCTCCTCCTCCTCTCTCCCTCCTCCTTCTTCCTCTCTCCTCCTCCTCCTCCTCTCCTCCTCCTCCTCTTCCACCTCACCTCCCTCCTCCTCTTCCTCTCCTCTCCTCCTCTCTCCTCCTCCTCCTCCACCTCCTCCTCCTCCTCCTCCTCCTCCTCCTCCTCCTTCGCTTGCTCCTTGTCCTCCTCCAGCGCATCCGCCGCTCCTCCGCCCAGGCCCCCCAGGAGAGGTCCAGCAGCGTGGCTACCGACCCGGTCGGGGAGGGAGGTCCCGCCGCTCCGCTCCGGGAGGGTTCCGAGGCGCAAGGCCGCTTTGGGCGAAGAAATCATGGAGGGGCCAGAGGACACGCAAAATATACACACACATCCCAGGATTCTCTGTAGGCTCAATAGTTTCTGGAGTTTCGTCTTCCGACCCACTTGCCATCATTTCCCATATTTTCAAAGGAGTCGCCGATTAGTCGTGTCTTTGTGTTTTCCCCCTGGCTGAAGACGACGCTTGCGGGCAGGCCAACAGCTGCTCAGATCAGGGCTCGAGCTAAGCAGTGCTTTTCGTTTTCGGATTGTCTTCGTTGTCCTTCGTTCGGTCTTCGGTCTGCCTCTGCTGCGAAACGCAATCAAAACCAAAACGGCCCACGAAATCGCCAACACATCGTTTAGCTCGAGCCCTGGCTCGAATGTGCAGGACTCTGGTGACCTCGACCTCCTGCGGTCTGCCGCTTCCCGATCACGGCGCTTGTCTTCCTGGGGCTGCCGCAAAGAGGAGTCCGCAACTTGTCGCTCATGCGGTCACGTTCAACGACGCGTCGGTTGCGCTGCTCGCATAGCCAACACCGCACTGTGCAATTCACACGAAGCACAGCCCGCATCATCTGGTAGCACGTTTCAGCCGACAGTGCGACGACTCGCACTGCCACCAAAACCTGTCTCCTGCGACGACAGCGCAGAGCACGCCTGATGGCTCTGTGGCTGCCTCTCGAAGCTTGCCATCGGGGATGTGTGAAGCAGGCTGGTGCAATTGTCGCTGGTGCAGTCGTCGCTGGTGGGCGGCGTTGAGCTGACGCGATTCCCCATATTTTCCATATGAGAAGCTTCCCTCTATTTTCTCATATTTTCTGTGTTTTTGTCTTCCCCCCCCTTCCCATATTTTCCCTTATTTTCCTGGGGATCGGCGATTAATTGTGTCTGTTTTTTTTTGTCCTCCTGGCTGACGCGAGAGCGCATCGCAACGCGGCCCGGAGCTTCCGCTCCAGGGGGAGGCCTGAGCTGCGGGCTCGGATCGAGGGAGGGCCGGTCTCAGCACCCTGATGGGGTGACGGTCGGCGCGCTGATTGTGAGGCTCAGCGCCTGGGAGGTGGGGCTCAGAACCTTCTCCTCCTCCTCCTCCTCCTCCTCCTCCTCCTCCTCCTCCTCCTCCCCCTTCCTCCTCCTCCTCCTCCTCCTCCTCCTCCTCCTCCTCCTCCTCCTCCTCCACCCTCCTCCTCCGCCTCTCCCCTCCTCCTCCTCCTTCTCCCTCCTCCTCCTCCTCCTCCTCCGCCTCCTCCTCCTCCTTCTCCTCCTCCTCCTCCTCCTCCTCCTCCTCCTCCTCCCCCTTCCTGTCCTCCTCCTCCTCCTCCTCCTCCTCCTCCGCCTCCTCCTCCACCTTCTTCTTCCCCTTCCGCAGTGGGGGCGAGAAGGCCGGCCCAGTGAGCGTGGCTTCGGTGAGGCTGCGGAGCCAGGCCGTGGAATGCGGTGCGCGGGGCGCGGGCAGCGGCGGGACGATCACGATGGTCCACGCCTGGCTCTTCGCACGAGGGGGCCGCTTTCGCCGCCTCCGTGCGTCCCCCGACCCAGTGCCCCCCCGGGTGGGAGGACGCGAGCATGAGAAGGAGGGAGAAGCGCGAAGGTAGGAGGGAGAAGGAGAAGGACGCAGGTAGGAGGGAGAAGGAGAAGCACGAAGGAGGTGATAAGAGGGGACGACGAAGAAGAAATGCAGAAGGACTGGAACGGTGACAAGAACCAGGAGGAGGAGGAGGAGGAAGCGGAGAAGGTGGAGGATAATAATGATCAAGACGAGGATGGCGAGGGCCAGGAGGAAGAGGCAGAGGAGCAAGAATAAGAGAAGAAATGTAGACGAGGATGATGGCCGAGAAAGAGGGGGAGAGAGGAGAGAGGGAGAGGATAACAAGGAAGAAGTGGACGAGGACGAGCAAGCAAGAGAGCAATAAGGAGCCCGACAGTGTAAGGCCGATTCGGGGGCGGATGAAGAGGATGAGGCGGAGGAGGGGGCTTGCTGACGATGATCACAGAAAGCAGGGCTAGGCGGGGGGGGGCAAAGAGGGAGGAGGAGACACTCAGCGGGCGAACCTTGTTTATGAACTCGAGGGACTTCTTGAAACACTCGAGGCAGAACGTCACGCAGGCCACAAGGCACTCGCACGACTGGTTCTGGGGGGCCAGAAGGGTGGACCGCTCCCTCGGCCAGACATAGGCCGGTCCGGTGCCACTGCAGAGAAGGGCGAGTCAACTAGAATGGATTGCGAGTCGGATCGAGCAGCATACGACAGGGGGCCGCAGGGCAGGGTGAGCGGGGCGGAGGAGGAAGGGCATATTTGAGCAGAGAAGAGAGGGCGAATCCTGCGACCTTGCAAGCTGATCCTACGGCCTGGCAGGACAGGAGGCAGCTGATCCCTACGAGGAGGAAGATGATGATGATGATGATGAGGAGGAGGAGGAGGAGGAGGAGAAGCAGCAGGAGGAGCAGGAGGGGGGCCAGGGGAAAGCCCAGGGGCATGTTCTTCTCAGGCCAGCGTCCAGCGATCCCAAGGGGGAGAGGGGTAACATTGGGATGCAGCCCCTCCTCTCCGTCCTCCTCCTCCTCGTTTTCCTCGCTGCCCTCCCCCCTCGTCCCCCGTCTTCGTCCTCGCCTTCGCCCCCCCCTCTCGTCGTCGCTCTCGTCCTCGTCTTCGTGCTCCTCGTCGTCGTCCCCATCCCCAGCTGTCCTGCCCCTCCCCGCCCCCCTTCTCGCAAGAGCCCTGCCAGGCAGCTCGTCGCTCCCGCCTCTGCGGTAGCAATGACGATGATGAGGATGAGGGGCTGTTTTCGGAGTGGTAGCCCTTTTGCTGCTGCAGTCGCTTCTGCTCTGAATATTATTCGGCCCTGGCCCTGTGGGGTGTCTGGGATCCATATGTGCTGGGGGCTCGTCTTCTTTGAGTACCTCAGCCACGGGGGAGAGCGCCAGTTCCAGGCGGCCCTTTACCCAGGGGAACGCGTTGCGCGGTCCTGGGCGTGGCACATGCTGGTGCTGTTCGCCGACGTCGGCGTGTTCGGTGTTTTCGAGGGGCCGTTTCACCCCGCGCCCGCGGCCGCCGCCCCTGCTGGCGTTCCTGGCTTCTGCCCCCTTCCTCGGTGTGCTGCTGGCCCCTCTCCCGTCCCTTGTGGGGACGTCGGGGTCTGCGGTCTGCTGAATGGGTGTGGTGGGGGCTAGAAACGCCCTCTCGAACCAACCGCCTCTCGGCTCTGGCGCACTCCTCATCCTCCGGGCATTTCAAGCATTTCTCGCTCCGAACAGCGTCTCACGGACGCCCGGAGCGCCCCGCAGCAACCCACCAGGGCCGTGCGGGCACTCGAACGATGGCCCCGGGTAACCGACCTCGAAGAAGGGAAGGGGGGTCCGAGGACCACACTCTTTACCTCGGAGGGAGGGGAGGAGAGGCCGGGTTTGAAGGAGGGCCCGATTGGGCCCCAGGTCGGGCGCCGCGCGCCCGCGCCCGAGGGCGTCAGCCCGCGAGGGCCCCGCGGCCATCGGCCAGGCCGTCGGCCTCTTCGTGGGCCGCCTCGGCTGGCGGCCGTCTTCCTTCCTCGCAGCCAGGCTGGCCGCTCGGAAGGGGGCTGGGCTCCCTTCACGCCTGGCGCTGAACCCACGCCGCCGCTGGGGCAGGCTGCCCGCTGCTCTTCTGCTCGCGGTCATCGTTCTCCAGCCGCGATCTCCTGCCGCTCTTGGCCTGTCCGGCCGTGGTCCCTCCCGTATGTCGCACGGGGGCAGCGACGGAGCACCCTTCGGCGCGGTGCGCTGTGCTCTCGCCGCTGGAGGGCAGGCTGCCCTCGTGTTCTTCTGGCTGTCTTCCACCTTCCGTGGCTTGTCGCCGCCCTAACTTCTTCATCCGCACGTTCTTCTTGGCAGGCCGGACTGGTGTGGTCACCCACCTTTCGCGTCAGGCCTTCGGCGTCCAGGAACCCCAGGACAACATGGCGGCTCAGCAGTGGAGGCATCGACCATCCCTCCGTCAAGGGCACCACTGCCGTGCCGGCCCAGCTGGGAGGGCAGTGCCTCCATCAGCATGTGCCGACCGCCCGTCGGCTGGCTCAGCTGAGCGTACCCCTTCGCCTGACATGCCTGCTGCCTGGGCTGGAACCCGTCGGTGGCTTTGCAGTAGCTGTGCGTCGTCGGGTCGGTCAGTGGTTGGATGCTCTCGTGCGGCTGTGGCGTCGCGCCACCTTTCTCGCACGCTGCCGATCGTATCGTTGACCTCGCGTCTGCACGTCACTGGCGCAGGTTGATTTGTTTCGGTTCGGTTGGTCGGGTGGGTTCGGTGTATTGGTCGGGTCTTGTTGGGTGTGGTTGTCGGTGGTCGCACCTGGTGTGGCCTCCATGCGCCGACTTCGGGTGGGAGTAGTGGCGGTCCCACCTCATCCCGCATGGCTAGAGGTCGCTGTGCCCTCAGGAGGGCGAACCCCAGGCCTGGTGCTTGGTGGTGGTCGTGGAGGGCTTGGTCGCATCTGCCCTGTGCTCCGCCTCGTCGGCGGTCGGGTGAGCTCCTCCTCCGCCGTGGGGATGGTGGGGGTGGCGAGCTACGGCGGACCGCGGGGGCGCGGGTAGTGGCCGTCCTACCCACCCCCTTCCCCTCACCATCCCCCCTTGCAGGCGCGGGCAGTACTCGTCCTGCCCCCCCGCCCTTCGAGCCCGTCTCGAAGTTTGATCCTTGCCGCGGCAGGGCAACTGTGACTTGGTCTTGAATGACCACTTGCTAAACAATAATTATTGTTGGCGCCCTGGCGCTCTCGCCGAGGCGCTGGCTACATTGCCATTGAAAATGGAGCTCACGCTCAAGCGGCTCGGGGGACTGCCAAAACCGGCCCCCCAACAACAACAACGCTCCCGCTCCAGACTTTCCCCTTTTTTGCTCAGGGCTGGTGTTCTTGCTCGCCGCCGAAAGCCGCCGTCCAAACAAAACCAGCGCTCCCGCTCGAGACCTCTCCCCGCTTTTACCTTGGACTGGCGCGTTAGTCTGTCTCGTATCGGCACCGCCCACAACAAAAACAACGCTCCCGCTCGAGGCTTCCTCCCTTTGTAACTCAAGGAGGTGCTCTTCCTCGCCGCCGAAAGCCGCCGCCCCGACAAACCAGCGTTCCCGCCCGAGACTTCCTTCCGTTTTACGCTGGGCTGGCGCCCAACTCTCTTTTGAATTGGCGCCGCTCCCGGCAACAACAACGCTCCCACTCGAGGCTTCCTCCCTTTCCTGAAGACGGTGCTGTTCCTCGCCGCCGACAGCCCCGGTCCCTACAAAACCACGGCTCCCGCTCGATGCTTCCTCCCTTGTTACTCAACGCGGTGTTTCTCCTCGCCGCCGAAAACCGCCGCCCCGACAAAACCAGCGCTCCCGCCCGAGCTTCCCTTCCGTTTTCACTGGGCTGGCGCCCTACTCTCTTTTGACTTGGCGCCCCTCCCAGCAAGAACAACGCTCCCGCTTTAGATTTCCTCTTTTTCCTGAAGACGGTGCTGTTCCTCGGCGCCGACAGCCCCCGTCCCGACAAAACCACGGCTCCCACTCGATGCTTCCTCCTTTCTTACTCAAGGCGGTCGGTATTCCTGCTCGCCGCCGAAAGCCGCCGTCCCAACAAAACCAGCGTTCCCGCTCGAGACTTCGTTTTGTTTAACGCTGGACTGGCGCCCTTCTCCTTTCAGCATTGGCGTTGCTCCCAGCAACAACAGCAGCCCGGCTCGAGACTTCCTCTCTTTCTATTCAGGGCCAGGTCCTTGCCTCACCGCCGGCAGCCCCCATCCCCACCAAGGCAATCCCGTCGTTCGCTACTTTCTTGTGCTTTACCCTCCGCTGGGGTTCTATTGGCGGTCCCGCATCGGCGCAGCAAGGCGCGGGCATGTGTCTTCGAGGCGGGATATGTTGAACTTCCTCGGAGGAAGTGCTTACAAGACCTCATTGGGCGGGAGGTCTGGGAATGGGAATAACGGATCCCGCTATAGAACAAGAGTCCCCCATGATGTGGATGGTTACCATGGTGGTCGCATGCTTCGTGTGGGAACATCGCGCATGAGGGTGACATGATTGTTGTTGTTGTTGTTGCTGCTGCTGTTGTTGTTGTTGTTGTTGGGTGGTGGTGTCGTCAGGGTAGTGCTGGTGCTGCTCGTGCTGGTCGTTGCTGCAAATCGTTCGTGGACGTTGCTGGAGGTCGTGCAGGTAGTGCTGGTCGCTGTGGGTGCTATCGTGATGTGGGTCGTGCTGGCTGAGTGCCTGGAGATGGTCGACGTCGTACCTCGTGCTGCTCGCGCTCTGCGGTGTATGTGGTGGGTCCTCGTGTGTTTCCTCGTGAGTCCTCGAGCATCCAGCTCCACGTGGCGACTCTTGCCTGAGGTGTTCCCACGGATTCGGGCCTTCCTCGGGACTTTGCGTCCTAACACCGGGGGGTAGACGTTAGCTGGTGCAAATCACTAAGCGTCGTGGCGGGCGTCAGGGGTTGGGAATGGTGTGTGGACGGCAAGCAATGGGTGGCGTGTGCGGCCTCGAGAAGGGCAGGGGTAGGCCACGAATTCAGATTATCCGCTCCAGCCCTCACGGCCTGACTGAACAAGGGCTCGTGTGGATAGGGGCATGGAACATGCCGTTAATATCGCAGCGGTAGGGGTATAGTTTGGGAGGGGGGTGTAGGCGGTGACTGGCACAAGGTGGGGTCGGATGGTTGGGTGCCGTAGTGGTGGTGGTTGGGCTGTTGCTGGTCGTGCTGGTCGTGGTGGTGATGCTGAGGTTGGTCGTGCAGGCGGTGCTGTCAGTGCCTCCTCCTCCTCCTGCTCCTCTTCCTCCTCCTCCTCCTCCTCCGTTTCTCCTCCTCCTCCTCCTCCTCCTCCTCCTCCTCCTCCTCCTCCTCCTCCTCCCCATCGCGCACAAAGTGTGGGGCAAGGGGGAGGACATGGGGAGGGCGGGGCGGGCAGCACTCGGTCAAAAGGCAGGGGGCATCTTAGAAAACACCCCGCCGCCTGCCAGGGCACAAAACGACCGCGATGCCGCCACTACCAGGAGCCCACTCAGGCGGCGCGCAGAGGGGGGCGGAGGAAGAGGGGTAGAAGAAGGCTGCCCCTTAGAAGGCGCTGGCCTTACGTCTACAGATAAGGCCCGCGCCTTCTAAGAAGCGAGGGTGCTTCTAACAAGCTGTTC